TTGGCTGCTAACCAAAAGGTTGGTGGTTCAAACCCACCAGCTCCTCCATAGAAGGAAGAGGGGGCAGTCTGCTTCCATAAAGATTTACAGCCTTGGAAACCCAATGGGGGTCGCTATGAGTTAGAACAGACTATCACACAATGCCAGTGAGTTTGTTTTTTTGTTTGTTTTTTTGGAGTGAACAGGTAAGTTGGTAAAGCCACATAAAGAACATTTGACATCATCGTGCAGGATGACAGACTCATGGTCCCTATGGCCCAGCCATTCTATTCCTACACATAGCCCTAGAGACACTTTTGCTTTAGGAAGAAGCATATAGTAGAAGGATGTTCATAGATGCATTGTTTGTGATGCAGTGGTTAAGTGCTTGGCTGCTTTATACATGGAAATAAACTAAAGCCATGTGCATCAATTGGATGAACTTCAGAAACATAATATTGGAGGGTAACTCACAGAACAATATTGATCATGGTAGCAATTTATGTAACATTAAAAATGTGAGAAGTTGAACAACATGATTATGGAGTACTGAGTTTAGGTGTACAGTGATGGAAAAATTGCATTGATTAAGGGTAGGGTTACAAAACCAATTAGTGTAATTGTTGTCAGTAAGTTGTACATCTGCAAATAGATGAAGGGATAAAAGTTGTGTGATAGATATATTTACAATGGAAAAAAAAAGGAGAGTAGCTACTGAGGCTGCTTATACACAACCAAACACCTCATGGGATTCAGTTTCTTGATTTGCACATTTAGGGTAATGGTTTCATGGGCTAACCCAGTAAACTAGCCTAATAACATGTTTAGTGCTTCTATTCTACCTCCTACTTTGTTGTACAGCACCTAGGGTCTTAAGACCTTGCAAGCAGCCATCCAACTCACAACATTTCTGTTTACCTGGAGCAATAGAGGAAGAGAGTTAAAAACAGGAGAAGGAAATGGAATGTGTGGCTAATTGCCTCAATGAACAACTGCCTCCTCTGGCATGAAACCAGAAGAACTGAATGGTGCCTGGCTATTATTACTGAACATTCTGATCAAAGATCCTATAGAAGAATCCTGATCAATAGGGAGAAATGCAGAACAGAATTTCAAATTCTCAAGGACTTCAGATTTTCTGGAGCATGAAGGCTGGATAAGCCCCTGAAACTATTGTCCAGAAATAATCTTTAAACCTTAAACCAAAAATATCCCAAAGTCTTCTTTACAATAGCCTAGTTTAAAAAGTGACAACCAAACAACAGTCTAGTTTAACAAATGAAAAATGTCTGCCTTGAACATCATGCTCTTTTAAGAAATATGCAATCAAATTGACAATAGCAACTTGAAAGATTAGATAGGAACCTTCAGCGGCGGGGGGTGGGAGGATGGGGAGAGTGAGTTTCTGATAATGGTACAGGAAGAACACAGAAATGGAAGGTAAGAATGGTTGTGCAACTTGAAGAATGTAATTGATGTCACTGAATTCTAATGTAGAAACTACTGAATTGATGCATGCTCTGCCATGCATATTCTGCACAACAACAAAAATAAGTTATTTTAAAAAAAGTTTAACAATATATTATTTATAATTTTACTCTACAAACAGTATATCCCTAAAGAATGGCAAAGGTGTGATAAAATAAATTGGGAAGGCGAACAGGGAGGGTGAAGGAGTTAGTCAAGGAAGAGCACAGAACATTGGTAATTTATTCTTTTTACTCTAAATGATGAATTTTGTGTTATTCTTTAGCTTTTATATAGATGCAATATATATTTTGTGTATATTAACTATTTAATAAAGAAAAGTTTAAACCTACACACAAAAATCTGGGGAAGGGGCAGCAGTTATTACTGTAAAATCACTTGAAAAATATTCAGTCATATTTATTCCATAGTTATCTGCATTTATCATAAACAAATGCAAAGAGAAATACAAAAATACTAAATAGCATTTTCATAACTTGTAAGATTTTAATAACTATTTGCTTGGAGGTGCTGAGCTGAAATTCTAGAAGAAAAGCTACACAGGAAGAGCACAGAGGAAAAAAGGATTCAAGAATAAACTTTGGAGATTTGCCTGTGCTTAAGGGCAGATGGAAAAAAAATCAACAAAGAACAGGGTAAAGCAACCAATACTTATCACACAATGCTCTTCATCTTCACTATAGCTAATACTGTCCACACAAAATGACATTTCACCTCCATCACTCTAGCAGGCTCCCAACTTGCCTCTTTGCCTCCTACTTCATTCTTCTTCAACCTACTTTTCACAATAACACCAAAGAAAAGCTCTTTATGTACTACAATTCTGTTCACATCATCACCTCCTTATTTAAAACCTTTTCCTGGATTCCCATTGGCTTAAAGTACAGTCCATTCAATATAATTAACAGAGGTGGTACACTGGTTAAGGCATTCAGCTGCTAACCAAAAAGTCGCTGGTTCGAACCCACCAAGCTGCTCCATGGTAGAAAGATGAGGCAGACTGTTTCTATAGAGATTTATAGCCTTGGAAACCCTATGGGGCAGTTCTATTCTGTCCCATATGATCACTGTGAGTTGGAATCAACTCAACAGCAGTGAGTTGCTTCTGGTTTCAAATGATTTGTCTCTAGTTAATTCTCTGATTGCAAAGGTTTAAAGCAGTGGTTCTCAAACTGTGCCTTCCCACATTAGATTCAAGATCTAATAAATCAGAAAATCTAGGGGTAGATCCCAACAATCCTTCCAATTGACTGTGGGTTTTAACAAATCTTACAGCTGATTCTAAATCACACTGAATTTTGAGCATCACTGGTTTAAAACATGGATGACAGCAAAATTACTATTCAAAGAAGTCTAACAGGGAAAATTGGAAAATACTATAGAATAGTGATTAAAAGCACAAACTTTGGGGTCAGATTGATAGGGTTCAAATTTCTGCTCAGTTTCTAGCTTTGTAATCATAAGAAGTTATTTAGCTTACTTCAGTATGGTATAATGCTTAAGAACATGGATCCTAGAGAAATACTGCTTGGATTTAAATTCTGATTCTACCTCCCATTAGTTTTCTATCTACTTCATAGAGTTGTTGTGAAGATTAAATGAATTAAGAGATATACTATGCTAAGTATTTGATGCACAGAAAACACTATGTAAATGTTATTCTTATTATACATTAAAACCTGTGAAAGTCTTGTCTTTCTGGGTCTCACAAGTTTTCTTCCATTGACAGGGTACAGTCTTACCACTTTCCTAATGCTCTATATTAGTGGAAAAGATTTTCATTTTCCTTTCCACCTAATACAGGTTCTGGCTTTCACTGAGACCATACAATATTTTTGACACAAAAAAAAAAAAATGCTAATGCCCATAGAAGAAAATATAATTTCCTCACTAAGTAAGGAAGGACTTTGTGGATCTTTTTTTTTAAGATGAACGACTTTATTTTCACCCTCCCATTTACTTTACTGAAATATTTATTTTCTACCAATTACAAAGTCCCTAAAGTAGAGCAATGACTTCTTCCAAAGAGTCAAAGGATCTTCTTTTAAGAATTCATTTATTTCACATAAATTAATACCTTCTTTTAGCAAAGAACTTACAAGGTTCAAAAAGGAATTTGCTGAACATTATGTCTGTGCTGAGAAAAATAACTCTGGGGATTATTCTAAATATATGTTCAGTGTTAATTTCATTATAAACTATATGTCACCAAAACAACTATCTATACAATCATTGAAAATGATGCTAAAAATATCATGATGCAAAAATTTACATAATAGGACTTTGTATAGTTTTTCTCTCTATGTTTATACCATGTCCCCCTTGATCAAAATCCATGAATGCCTAAACCACAGCAAATCAGTGAAGACTACAGTTTACTGAACATAAACTACGGTGTGACAAAACCATATTTGTTGAAGATACAATAATAAATGGATGTAAGTGACATGAAATGATGCAGAAGCTTTTCTTTCAAGGGTCTCAAAGTGCAGTACCTCAAATTTATGCTTATATAGTTACGAAAATAGAAAACTTAAAATATGACAAGGACTAAGAATAGGAAACAAAATATGAGAAAAGATATACTGGGGACAAGTAACAAAAGCATTGTGAAAATGTAGAGCTCATTACTGAGATTTAAAGGTTTCTTAGAACCATAGAGATAATAAACCAATTTAATCTGACTTGAAAAGCAGTTTACTCATCAAATCTTTACTAGGGCTTTCTGGAATCCTCTGCCCCACAGTCTCAAAACAAGGGTATATTAATCTGGTAAAAAATGGCTTTTAATTATGATTCTCTTGATTTTTCTAGGTTTTAATAATCAGTACCTATGCAGAATCAAGTAAAGAGAACATAAAAACATTTTTACTTTTTAAAAAATGAGTATTAATGCTATGGGGCATTATGATTTTAATTTGCACATGACAGCCACCTGTTCCACCTTTTTTTTTTTTTCCTGGCACCATAAATATCAGCTGTGAGATGAGGTGAAGGAATTTTGGCAGAATCTTTGGACATACCTTTCTACTTTAAAGTGGAGGTCACTGATTATGAAGAACATTCTATCAGCTCTGGATTTCAGAGCATCTCCTCAATGCTGGAAATTTTATACTCGGGGGTAAAAGGAGGTTAACAAATTAAGATTACTGAATTTTTAAAAGGTATTAATATGTCAACCTGAGTGACTTGTGTCCTTGCTGACCTAAAATACTACAGAAATCCAAGAGGAGGGTAATAAAGAAAACTGCCGATCTTCTAATTATTTTTAGAAAAGCATGAAGGATGGCTTACCTACAACTAAGTATTACACACTGACCTTCCTGGATTGCCTGAAAAAAGAAACACTTTATTTTCAGACTAAGAAAGAACCTAAGATTCTCTAACACAGAAAAATGATTTTAAAAATAAAAAGTGTAAGATGAGTAAGTTACAGCTCTTTCCTACTAGATTTATAAATATTAACCACCCAGGACTGGGTAAGGATTCTGAACTTTATAGAAGCCCTTCAAGTAAAGCATCAAAGCATTTACCTGAATAGTCCTCTGAGTGCCATCAACGTTGACAGACAGTAAGGGTGAAGCCAAGTTCCACGTACTGGTCACATTTAGTTTCGACCCATCAACTTCCACCTGTTGTGACACCAAATAAGACTGTTATCATAAAGAAAGACAGAAAACTGATCTCAAGTTCATTGCTGCATACAAAGCAGCAGCCATTTTAAACAGATGGCTCCCAAACAACCTGTCATGTTTACTGCTCCAGCCATGAAAGACAGGGTCCAACAACAGAGTCTTCTTAGTCATCTCTGGGGAGAGGTGAAGGACCTGTGAACAGCTGCCTCTGGGTACTGAGGTTTCAAGTAATTTTCAGTACGTAACAAACAGCCTTCTAACTCTAAACCTATCTGGACATGCTACATTTACTGCAATTAGACAAGTAATGCATATAAATTCCAGTGACATTTTGCAACCCACACAACAGGGCTTGCATATAATATCCTCTCCAAGGACCAAAGAAGAACTTTTTCTGTGTTAATTTTAATGAAGGACTATGCATTGTTATCTTAATTAAACAGAAGCTTTAATTAGGAAAAATTCTTTGGTCTTGAATATCCAAAGTCCATTCAAACTTTGCCAAAGTTCTGTCATATTTCTATCAATCATAAATGACAAATTTCATGAAGTCATCCACCATGGAAATGCCAAAAACAAAAACCCTGTAATCATTTAAACAGAAATATTCTTAAGAGAAACAATTTAACTTTCAAAAAATACAAAAGTTATTAAAAGAAAATAAGGCTAATTTAACATAAAAGCAGTATTGATTACTCCTTCCTATTAATTCACTGATGATTATTCCCAAACTCTTTTATATGAGAGACAAGAAGAAATTACATTACTATTTTAAGTCTACAATAGATAGTTGTAGCCATTAAATAGACTGAATTATTACCATTCATTATTATATCAAAGGAGCTCTGGTGGTATAGTGCCTAAGGTATTTGACTGCTAAACAGAAGATTGGCAGTTCAAACCCACTAACCACTCAGTAGAAGGGAGACTGGGCAATCTACTTCCATAAAGATTTACTGCCTCTGAAACCCAAAAAGGGGTTGCTTATGAGTTGAGATCGACTCAAAGGCAGTGAGTTTGGTGGGGTTTTTTTTTTTTTTTTTTCCAATTATATCAAGATATTTGATGTTATTTTTAAGATATGCTAATGAATAAGGCAAGCAGGATTTAGAAATGTAAAGCATATTCTTTTTGGAAATCTAAAAGAAATGATAAATAAATGTGTCTTTATATTTACCTTTAAATACAGCCAAAAAGAAAGAGGAGAAAGAGATAGAGAACAGAACATGTAAATGAAAGGGTGTTAGAAAGAGGAGAAAGCTAATGTGAATTACGGGGAGGAGATAAACAAGAGGAATCAAACAAAGCTTTTAAGTCTGTTCAAGTTTTAAAATAAATCTGTAGCAGAGACAAAATATATGATCCCTAATAATCCTCTCATAATCACTTAATTCTTGTCAAAGACATTCACTTATTAAAATAAAAGATATATACTATGTTTGAATACTTATTTATGTATATGTATATATTTCCCACTATAGTGTGACCATGAAGTTTACAAAGATGGGTTATTGGCTATGTAATAAATATCAGTAGAACATATATCACGTATTCACTTGTGTTTCTAGATTTCCAGATTCCATATATATATTATATGGTAATAACCAGACCAGTTGCTAGAGATAAACTGTGACTCATGATGACCCCATGAGGGTCAGAGTGGATCTGTGCTCCACAGGGTTTTCAACGGCTGATTTTTCAGAAGCAGATCCCCAGGCCTTTCTTCTAAAGAGCCTCTGGGTGGACTTGAACCTCAAATCTTTTGGTAAACAGCCAAGTGAGTTAACAGTTTGAAGTACCGTCTGCATTTGGTAATTAGGAAGAAAAAACACTGGTTTTGGAATTGCACTGACTTGAATCTCACTTGACATTGTAGATTCCTAAATTGGAGTTATTTACTAAGCCCAGAGTTGTTGAACTTCACTGTTCAAACTATGACACAGATTTTTTAAAAATATATATCTAATAGGCTGCTGGTAAAGATTAAATCAGTTAACATATGAAAATCTCTACCAATATTACTGTCATGGTAGGTCTGAAATAGTTTTCTTCTTTTTTCCTTCCCCTAAAGATTTTATTACCCTTAACAGTTTTAAAATAAGGTCAAATAGTCATACAATTTCATAAATTATTTACTATTAAAATAATACACAGTAAAGACCTAAGAAAGAGACAGGTTGTGGTTTTATTAAACAAGACTAATATAGTTTAAAATAAACCTATTTGAGCTCCTGGAAATTAAATATTGTCTTATTTAATGAAACAGTTCTTATAAAAGGTCTCCATATTAGCTTTGAAATTGAGCAAACTGAAGTTTAAAAATGCTTCTACTAAATTTAAAAGGTTAAAAAAGCTCAATGATTAAGTTTTAATATTTTGTGCTATTTATTAGAAAAGAAACTTAGAGCTTATAAAGAAAGACTGTGAATGATAATAATTTACCAGTTGTATTTGCCATTAATTTCAAATCAATAGGAATGAGAGAATAAACCTGCAGTTACCATTTATACTGTAAGTGAGAAGGAATGGAAAACAGTCCAATCTATTCAAATCCTATTAGAGAAGGGACTAATCTACTACAATCTGAGATCATTCAATTCCATTAAGGAAACTTAATGTAAATTTATTTGCTTCCTCTACCTCTCTTTCAGTACAGATTTTCTATTTCTAGTTTTCTAATTGTACTCTGTTCTAGCCACAGTTTCAAATTATCTTTTGGAAGGAAGAGAAAAATGAATAAATTCAAATTAAGAAGAAAAACAAGCTTCTCATGAACTATAATGAGCTATCATATCATAACCACTCTTGCAATTGTTAGGTGCCATCTAGTCAGTTCTGATACATAGCGACCTTGTCTACGACAGAACGAAACATTGTCCAGTTCTGTCCCATCCTCACTTACAATCATTGCAATGCTTGAGCCCACTGTTGCACCACTCTATCAATCCATTTAATTCAGGGTTTTTCTCTTTTTTGCTGACCCTTTACTTTACCAAGAATGGTACTCTTCTCCAGAGACTGGTCCCTTCTTATAACATGACCAAAGCACAAGAGATGAAATCTAGCCATTCTCAATTTTAAGTACCATTCCAGCTACACTTTTAAGACAGATTTGTTCATTTTTCTGGCAGTCCATGGTTATTTTAAATATTCTTCACCAACACCACAACTGAAATGCATTACTTCTACAGTCTTCCATATTCATTGACTAGGTTTCACATGCATATGAGGCTACGGACAATACCATGACTTGGGTCAGGCGTACCTTCGTCTTCAAAGTGACATCTTTGCACTTGAATACCTTAAAAAGGTCTTTTGCAGTAAACTTGCCCAGTGCAATACAATGTCTGATTTCTTGACTGCTGCTTCCATGAGCATTGATTGTGGATTCAAGGAAAATGAAATCCTTGATAACTTCAATCTTTTCTCCATTTATCATGATGATGCTTATTGGTCCAGTTGTGAGGACTTTAATTTTTCTTTTTTTCATGTTGAGGTGTAATCCATAGTGCAGGCTATATAGTCTTTGACCTTCATCAGTAAGTGCTTCGAGTCTTCTTCACTTTCGGTAAGTAAGGCTGTGTTGTCTGCATATTGCAGGGTGAGTTTTCCTACATTCCTGATGCCACATTCTTCTTCATATAGTCCAGCTTCTCATATTATTTGCTCAGCATACAGACTCAGTATGGAGAAAGGATACAACCCCAATGCACACCTTTCCTGATAGCAAATCATGCAGTATCTTCTTGTTCTGGTCTAACAACTGTCTCTTGGTCTATGTAAAGGTTCCTTTTGAGCACAATTAGAAGCTCTTGAAATCCCATTCTTCCCAATATTATCCATAATTTGGTATGATCCACAAAGTTGAATGCCTTTGCACAGTCAATAAAACGTAGCTAAATATCTTTATAGTAACCTCTGCTTTCAGCCAAGATCCATCTGACATCAGCATTGATATCCCTTGTTGCACACTGTCTTCTGAACCTGGCTGAATTGCTGGCAGTTCCCTGTCAATGTACTGCTGCAACCATTTTTGAATTATCTTCAGCAAAATTTTACTTTCATGTGATATTAATGATATTGTTTGACAATTTCTGCATTCTGTTGGATCTGTTTTAGAAATGGATACATTACAAAGATCTCTTTTAATCCATTGTGCAGATAGCTGTCTTCCAAATTCTTGGCATACACAAGTGATCACTTGCAGTGAAACATCTCAATGGGTATTCCTTAATTCCTGGAGCTTTATTTTTGCCAAATCCTTCAGGGCAGCTTGGACTTCTTCCTTCAGTTCCATTGGTTCTTAATCATATGCTACCTCCTGAAATGGTTGAATGTCAAGCAATTCTTTTTGGTACAGTGACTGTGTATTCCATCCATCTTCTTTTGATGCTTACCACATGGTTCAATACTTTGCCCATGGAATCCTTCACTATTTTCCTTTAGCTCTTTTACCTTGAGAAATTCTGAGCATGTTTTTTTTTTCCTTTTTATTTTCTAACTTCAGGTCTTTGTGCATTTCATTTTAATATTTCACTTTGTCTTCTTGAGGTGCCTTTTGAAATCTTCTGTTCAGCTTTTTTATGTCATCATTTCTTCCATTCACTCTAGCCACTCTCTGTTCAAGAGCATGTTTCAGAGTTTCTTCTGAGATCCATTGTGGTTTCTCTTCATTTCCTGGCTTTTTAATGACCTTTTGCTTTCTTCATGTATGTTGTCCTTGATGTCCTTCCACAACTCAGCTGGTCTTTGATCACTGGGTGTTCAATGCATCAAATCTGTTCTTCAGATGGTCTCTAAATTTAGGTGGGATATGCTCAAGACTGCATTTTGTCTCTTTTGGACTTGTTTGATTTTCTTCAACCTCAACTTAAACTTGCGTATGGGCAACTGATGGTCTGTTCTACAGTTGGCCCCTGGCCTTATTCTGATTAATAATATTAAGTCTCTCCATCATCTCTTTCCATATATGTAGTCAATTTGATTCCTATGTATTC